CCCCCCCACCAGTCTTCTGCTAAAACTCCTTTCTTCTATCAAGTCTTCAGGCACCTGATGAGCACTCCCACCCACCTCAGACTCATTCCCCATGTCCCACACCCACAGCACTCCTCCATCCTGCATTGAAAATGACTTCTTCCTTTCCCAGCCCAGCCCCCCCACCAAGCAAAACCGTTAACACATCAACCCCTAGACCCATTATCAAAAAAGGTATCCAACCCCCAGACTGTGTTATCAGAAAAGGTATCCAAACTGTTTCTCAGAAAGACTTTATTGAAGTCCAAACTGATATGAAAAGAAATTAAAAAACCATGAAGGTACACAGTTACAGAGCACATTTGCCCACCTGAGCAGCCATTACGTGTGCTGCCAGGCAGTTTCTGACCATAGCTCCCCTGCTGTTTGCTTTAATGTCTAACCTCCCCGCTTGTCCTGCTTGTCTCAGTGTAGATCTGGCAGCTGCTTTCACTTCCCTCAAATCTTGGGCCCAAGACTCACTGAAAATGTCTCCCCTTGTTTCACAGATATTGTGCAGCATGCAGGCTATCACTATGAAAGTGGGGATGTTCTCTGGCTGTACCTCCAGCCTGTAGTTCAGTGACTTCCCCCAGGCTTTCAGGTGCCCAAAGGCACATTCTGTGGTCATGTGGCATTTGCTTTGGTAGTAGTTGAAGGTCTGTTTTTGTGGGTCAGTCACTTGCCTCCCTGTATGGGTTCATGAGCCAAGGCAGGAGTGGGTAAGCCACGTCAGCAATTATAAGTAGTGGCACTGAAACACTGCAGGTGACACCTCCTCCATTTCTGGGGCATATTGGCCCTTCTTCATCATCTTAGGCAGTGGTGAGTTTCGAAAGACGTGCATCCTGGGTGCATCCTGCCCATCCTGTGTAAATGTTAGTAAATCTTACTCGGTGATCCACTACAGCTTGGAGAATGACTGAAGGAAATCCCTTTCTGTTGACAAATGATCAGTTGTTCTGGCACAGTGACAGGACAGGAACGTGTGTGCTGTCCAGTGCTCCCACGCAGTTTGGGAAGCCCATTGTCCTGAAACCTTCCACCACCTCCCTGGGGTTATGGAGGCAGATGAATATATTTGCTGCCAGTTTCTGCAGCAGCTTGCAGACCTCTCTTATTGCCACCCCAGCTGTGTAGGGAGCCATGCTAAACTGATTTGCCACATGGTGCAAGCTTGTTGGCGTGGCCAGTTTCATCATGGCCATGGCAACGTGCTTCTCTGGGGCGATGGGCTTCCACATGACAGTTGTCTGGCGCTCAATGTGCAGTAACAGCATATTAACTGTGTGGAAGAAGGTGTCCCTGCTCATTCTCAATGTCTCTAGTCACTAATCATCATTCCAAGTTGATATAACAATGTGTTCCCACCAGTTAGAGCTGCTTTCGTGTGCCCAGATCTGGCGATCATTGCCAATAAGGTATGGCCAGCAAGTAGCTATAGTCTTATGATCCCTAAATTCATCTTCTTCAAAACATGTCAGCACCTTGTACAGTTCTTTCATCAACCTGTGTGTTGAGCCAGACATCCACATGTGGCTTTCGTGGAGTTTGAACAGACTCCAGCCCAGTTCCATAAATCATCTAGTTTCCTCTTCTAGAAACAGACTTCTGCGAATTGACTCTTTTATGGCCAGCAATATTATTGTTTTCTTGTCACTTAGTCAGTTAGGAATGGAGAAAGCCATACTCTTAGATTTAGCAAGCAGTTCACAGAGACAATTTTGGCTGTCCCCAGCCACTAGTTCCCAAAGCCTGCAAAACTGGTCCATGTGCATGAAAACACTCACGCCATTTACATGTCAATGCCTATCCTCCCCAGCTCCTGTTACAAGGCCCTACTGTGTGTTGCTTTGGGGTGTCCCCATGCACAGCTTGGTTGGCAACCTTAACACAGCTTTACTTACGGGTTCAAGACCAAGTTACTTTATCTATCCTTCTCAGCACCCCCTTTTCCTACTACCAAATCCCAATCTTTCATTACCTTCTGGTATGCCAAAAGCCTGTTCCATTATGATTACCTACCCGTAGCTATCCAACCCATACCACATGCACCCAGTGCTACATGTTAGTCTTCTCTCCCAGAATTGGCAAAAGCCTGCTTAGCTTGGACTTGCACTTGGGAGGCCAGGTACTTTATTTGCTCTGTTCAACAGTCTCCGCCCTCCCCCCCCCACATGCACACACATTTCTGAGGTCCCTGGAACATTTAAAAATTCAAAATTCCCAGCCAGTCCTCCTCCGACTGTTCCTGGGGGTGTGGGGGACCCCCTGCTGGCAGCAAGTGGCCTGCTCTCATCATCCACTGTTTTGGGCCACCACAGGTCACATGATAGGGTTCCCTCCCCCAATTTCCAACTGTCTGCCTGTACACAAGGACATGGAATAGTTCACTTGCTCTCTGCAACACACAATACCCAACCCCCACCCCCCAGACAACATGATGGGGTTCTCTCCCCCAGTTTCCAGCTGCCTGCCTGTACACTGAAGGACATGGAATATTTCACTTGGTCTGCCCCCCTGCCCCCAGGCCACAAGCTAGGGTTTGCTCCCAGAATTTCCAACTGCCTGCCTATACACTGGCAACTAACCCCTTCCCCCTCAACTCCCCAAGGCCACATGATGGGGTTTGTGGAAGTCTGGACAATTTAGAAAAATATTCCCAATTACCGCATGCCTAGAAGTGGGGTGGGGGGTGAGGGTCTTGCCTCTTTCTAGGGTCTTAGTGGTCCCCTGGCCCCCCCAAAGTTCCCCCAGTGCCTCAGTGTTGTGTGCTTCTCTCAACAGTGCCCTGAAGTGGTGATCTGTGAGTATGTGTGGTAAATAGGCCACTCATTTATATGATCTGAGGATACGGCGGTGTGAGTGTAGTGCCTGCGAAAAGCAGAACTGGAGTCAGCACAGATGAGTACAGTACATTACAATTACAGTTGTATTGTACTGCACATTACAATTACATTACAATTTAGTAACAGGAAAAGGTTTTAGTTCAACAAAAATCAATTGTAATTAATCTGATTCTTCAATCACGAGATGAACTGCCCAATACATATTAAGAACAATTTTGACCCTTTCCCCCTGGTGTGTAATGGCCACATTACAATAGAAATTACCTGGATTTCTCGGTGAACCCAAGCAGCACCTTGTGGACAAATCATGTCGGAACTGAGAAAATGGCAATTTTAGCTGTGTGTAAGAATACTCATCCTGAAACTATCACGATAAAAAATAATCTTGCTGGAACAATTGGCCACGCTAACAATAAAAAATGTTGGAGGTGGTCTAGTTTACCACAATAAAACGAAGTTGACCATGATAAAAAGGCGTCAACATGTATTTTTAGATGCAGCTAACCTAGCGTAATGGTGATTTTTGGTGCTGTTTCGTGACATATCTAAACAACAGATAAAGTGTACAGCAACGTGAGCTCTATTTAAGCCAGATGTAACTGTGCACAGCCCCACATTGTATTACAATTACTACAAATATTGTTTGCTAAGCATTTCAGTCAGAACACAATACTTCGAGGGACTTTTTAAAAAGTACTTTTAAAAAAAAGTACTATTAGGGTTATAAATTCAAGACTGGTCTTTACCAAATGGAATTTAATACCAGTTATCAAAATATAGAGCTGGCTGAAAGAACTTATAGTTTAAACCTGTTATTCTAGTTCTATCCAACAAAGTGAGAAAAAAAATATTTCTTTTTTGGCCCTGATTTTACTTGTGCATGAACAAGCAAGGCACAGAGGATTTCCTGAGCATTAATGACTTTCATGGGAAAATTTGGGTTTGGGCCACCGCACCAGTCAGTCATTACTTTCCATTACATGCTCTGTTATTGTTAACAGAGATTACTGTTATAATCATTTTCTAATGTAAACACTGTAACTTACTTTCATACATTGTCTTACATTTTATCATGTGCTGCTATCTCCTTTCAGCTTTTCATGTGTAGAATGAATCTGAGCTAAACTGCTGTTATATTATTAAATCCTTTGAAACGATTGCCCAAATTAAAAAACAGGATTGGCTATACTGTTAGATATCGACAGATATTGAATGGTGTAAGAGTGGAGGGAAGTAAAAAGATAGAAAAAAAAGAAAGGAAGAAAGAAAAAAGAAAAACTCTTGGATATGCTTCTCTTCCATTCTTAACTCTGTCAAGAAAAAAGCCTTTCACCTTCCAGTCTACATAGACCGTAGACAGCTCCAAATTTCTTCCCAGTCAGAAGTCAGTTCATGGTAGCACAGTTTCAGAAGAAGCATTTCCACAAAATAAAAGTGATCCTAAAGAACAGTGCAAAGGCATTAGTTGTCTTCACAAATCCATCTGACATTCACCGGTATCTATCTGCAGATTAGGAAGACCATTCATCTTGCTCATTTTACATAGGTTTGCAAGCTTGAGCAATGAGTTTCTTGGCCTCTGCATGATCGTTTTGTTTTTGGTTTGAGTGAACTCTTTTCAAACCTAGAGCACAACATACAACCTCCTTCTTTTACATTGCGTTATAAGATAATAAATGACTTTGCTGTCTTGAGTTCGCTTTTTAAGGAAGTTACTGTTAATACAGCACAATGTTCTCATTACATTTACATTGCATACTATTAAGAGAAATAGAGTGCTAAGATTGGAAATTTCTTTTATACAGCCACTAAAATAGGCTATTTGTTTCTGCCTTTTAAATTTCACTATTAATATAAAGCAAAGACTATTGCTGGGTGTTTTTAATGGGAAAGTGTAGCCCTCCCTTTGCCCTTCCAGAAAATCACTCGGTAGTGAAATGTAATTCTGTTGAAATGTTTTTGTATTGTATTCCCAAATTGGTGCACACATTTAATGAGTATCCTTGATTGTTTTAGGGTAATTGACCACAAAGTTTATTAGAATAACCAAGGTCTAAGTAGTTTATAATAGGATTTCCAAAGTGTGCAGCCTTTAAAGTGACATTAAGTTTATTTTCTCTCTGACACTTTCAGGCTGAAGATTCTCAAGGATCATTTTACTTATTCACTCTATGTTAATGTCTGTCGCTCGCTCTTTGAAAAGGACAAATTGCTCTTCTCCTTTTGTTTAACAGTAAATCTTCTGAAGCATGAAGGATTGGTCAGTGCTTGAAAATAATTTTCCATTTAGTACTGTAGCTCTTAAACTGCATATTTATATCGTTTCTTAGGAATATATATAATGTCACTGGAAAATCAAGCCTATATGTAAACAAACTCATGAAACTTATTTATAATTGTGTGTTTTTTAACATTTTAATATGTAATTATAAATCAATTAAGTGAATTCCCTAGAATAAATTAAAGTGGTCTAGCCAAATTAATACTAGATGATAGGCAGTCTTCAAATCTTTAGTTAAAATGAAACCAGCCTATGATATTCCATCTGCAGATAGTTTGCAAAATTTTACTTTATTATATTTACTGTATGTTAACTAGAAAGCTATTAATGCCTGTGTTAGTGGTGAGGCTGTGGCATATGCTTATCAATCTGGAATATATATTAATTAGGTTAGTACAATGCGAGTTCTAAAAACTTTTCAGAATAAAGTTACAGTTCAAATTCTTACAATGGAGAAGAAAATAGGGCTTACTTTAATGTTAACTTTAATGTAAATTTTATAAGGCTTTTTTTCTGAAAAATAAGACCCTTTGTGTCTTAACATTTATAATCAGTCTTAGCAGATCACTTTTCACAGAATTGTTTTAAATTGATAGGAAAATGCAGTCTTTTAAAATTATATCCGTTTCCTCATGAACAGTATTACTATTAGCAATGGAATATTTTAGGCTATTTATCTTTTATTGGTTCAGAAAACATATTTTGGTCACTACAACCATCTAAATGATATAGTAAAGTGAAATGCACATGATTAAAAAACAAGGAGTAGTATGTGGTGATTGGTTTGGGTGACCAGAAAGCTAAAAAACTGCTTAAAGTCTAAAAACCTAATTTTAGGGACCTGGGTGTACAGGTTTGTTAAACCGGTTTGTGCTGAATAGAATACTAGGAAACAAATGGGCCTTGTTAGAAGCTCATATTTGAATTTTTTATTTAGATCTGAAATTTGCTTCAAAATCTGGAAAATATTATCTTCTGTACATAGCTCTGATTTATTTGTGTTTACTGTGATACTGTGGAGGAATGAGAAAGTGAGTCCAGCAAAGGTGGTTTGTCAAAAATATAGCCACCTGAAAGTATTAATTTTTCACTTGAGGAAGCACTAGTCATAGATAAGGTTCAAGGTGTATACTTGTGTGAAAGACAAGGTTCTTTGGGTAAATATGATATTCTAAGAAAAGATATCAGATTTACCCAAAGAACCTTGTCTGCCCATGTTCTTAGACCAACACGGCTACAACCTACATCCCTGTACTTGTGTGGAACATTTAGGAAATTTTGGAATAACTTCAGCTTCAGGCTTTGGAGTTTTATCTAAACTGAATTAAACCATTGAAGCTTTTGGAAATGTGCCTTTGATAGTATCACAGAAGAATTTCTAGTGTCAGTGCAAAAATTCAGAGAAATCTATCAATTACCTACATGACGTGATGAAACATTACTTGTCCAATATTAAGTATTTATTATACAGGCTTATTAATGTTGTTTTTAACTGCAGATTAATGAGAGTGAGTGGAAGTTTTTGCTAACTGGTGGCATAGGGCTGGATAATCCATTCTCTAATCCCTGCACCTGGCTTCCTCAGAAGGCATGGGATGAAATCTGTCGACTAAATGATTTGCCATGCTTCAAGAAGATTCGTAAAGATTTTATACGGCTGAAGGATGGATGGAAATCTGTGTACGATAGTCTGGTATGTTAACAGAAAGAGCTTAAATTTTATTACAAATTGTTTGCTTTTTCAGAATAATGAATCACATTTAAGATTCAGAAAAACAAAGTAAATTCTATAATCTTGCAATGTTTCATTTTTACAGTAACTGAACATAATTATTCATGCAAATTATACCTAAGGTAGGGTATTGTAATTTGTCAGCTAGCTTTTGTATGCCAAGATACATTTTGCATTGGATTGGATTAAAAAATAATCAAAGAAAAATAATTACAATAAGTGGGATGATAGGAGAAATCTGCTTAATTTAAGAAAACCAAAATACAATATGACTATACAGGTCTTTGCTGTGCTCAGTTATATTAAGAATTATTTTTCAAGACATTGTATAGGCCTATGCTATCATATGCTAAATGTAGATGCCAATTTTTGTCCAGTGGACAGAGTACTGGACTAGGAGTCTGGGTTGTATTCCTGGCTCTGCCGCTGACCCAATGTGTGATCTTACATGAGTTATTTCACTTTTCTTTGCTGGTTTGTCCTGCCAGGCTTTGTTTAGCTTGTCTATTTAGATTTAAAACAATTTTTAATTAGGGAACATTTCATACTATGCATTCATAAAGTTGCTTTACCTGTGAATTCTGTTACTTTGACACTCACATATTATTGACAATGTTACATCCAACTTTTAACTTAAACAACCATTACTGAATTTTGCAAGTGGATTTTAGCAAAGTTGCATTGGTTTACTCCTTGTAAATCTGACCCCTTTTTGCCACTGGTGTATGGAAATGGTGAAAAATTTTGCCTACTCTCAGTTGTTAAAAAGATAATCCAGAAGTTTTGTGAAACTCGTCTAGAGAGGACTGAGTTTGTATATACTTTGTATGTATTTATGTTTTATACATTGAATATGTCTAGCATTTAGAAATATAGAGCTAGCTTCCTTCTTCCCCAGTACCTAAAAGATTTTGAAAAAAGAACTGAAAAAATGATTGCCCATTTCACTGGTAAAACTTTTAATTTGGTTAGAAATGTACTATGAGTGAAATGGAAGAATATAACTTATAACCCAATTCTGCACCTTTGTTACTAACTCAGAATGGGCATCTTTACACGTGTTCCTGGGTGGGCAGGAAGCACTTTAATTACAGTGTCTTTTGGGAGTCACTCTAATTAAAACTGTCACAGTATCTTGTGTATTCAGTGTTTTATACTTCAAAATGGTGGCAGGTGTGCTTTAACTAAAGTTTGTTCAACAGGTTTAGTTAAAGTGCCCCTACCATCATTCTGAAGCATGGGGATGCTGAATACACATGATGCCGAGGCTGCTGGAGCAATGAATTGAGTCTGCTCCGATGCATTACAATTAGAATGCATCAGAGCAGGTGTTGGGCATGTGTATAGGTGCCCATTTTGAAGAAGGTCTTTTAAGCCATAGAGGGATAAAATATGAACAGAAAACTTTGCTCTTCTTTGGACAGTTGTACAAGGGTAAGTCAAATGGTTATTCCCTTTACTTGGGACATGTAGGGACTGATAATTCTGGTTTCCTCCCTGGGAAGCAGTCATCTGAAAAAAAGACAGAGAAAAGGTTGGCTTTGAAAAGAGAAGGCTGAGGAAGAGAAAGAAAAGTACCTCCATGTACAGGAAACATCCATTTGAAGCTCAGTACCTCTGCTGAGCAAGGCTGTGCTTTAAAAGCCACAATGGCACTCTTAGGAGGTTAGCAGATGTTCATCTGCTGGCTTGATGGGATATGATCCCCAACCCCAGCAATTATGCCTCCTGGCATGCCACACATGCATGGCAGAAAATGTGATTGTTGGGATTAGCAGACAGATCCCAATTGCCTACAGTGAGCACAGAGCAAAAGCAATAGGGAGCCCAGGGCATGAGTTTGCAAGTGGTGGACAAGGGAAGTTTCATAGTTTCATAGATGTTAGGGGCTGGAAGGGACCTTACAGATCACTGGGTCCAGCCCCCCTGCACTTGGGCAGGAAAGACTGCTGGGGTCAGATGACCCGGGTGGGGGGTGGGGGGCGTTGTCAAGAAGCTTTTTGAAGATCTCCAGGGTGGGGGACTGTACCACCACTGGGGGAAGCCTGTTCCAAACCTTCGGCACTTAACTTGTAAAGAAGTTTTTCCTTATGTCCAGTCTGAAGTGGTCTTCAGTCGGTTTGTGCCCACTGTTTCTTGTCCTCTCCT